GTTTTCTTCAAGTTCGCACCGTTGAAATCACCCGCTATGATGAATGCCCCCTCGGGATGTGTATTCTCTCGTCTGTTAAGGTGACAGTGTAGTGCATCCAGTGCCTTTGTTAAATGTGCCTGCGGCGGAATATACACCACTGTGAGAACTCCCGATGTGAACTCCCTCGGTAGATAGAAAGCGCGATATTTTATTGTCAAATGTTCAAGATGTGTAGAGCATGATGAAACAATCTCCATGTCTGTGCACCAGGAATTGCTTACCATGAGGCATACCCCGCCGCCTTTGCTCTTACCCGAATCTGTTGTTCTGTCCTGACGGTGAATAGAAAATCCTCCCGGGAGGATAGCAGAGTCCGGAACAGACGGGTCAAGCCAGGTTTCAGTGACCGCCAGCACGTTGCAGTTCTTGATGTCCCGTTGGAAAGCAAGCTTTGATCTCAGTTCATCAAGTTTATTGTCCAGTGACTGAACATTAGCAAGAAGTATACTCGGGTGAGGGGCACGATTGCGCTGCCTCAGTCTGACAGAACGCTTGCCCGTTTAACCCTCTTCCTACAGATACAGGTGAGACACCACAGTCCAGATAGTCGGCAGTAATTATTGGTGTAGATTTAACTGTGCTAATATTCTATCTTAGGTCTATAAGTGTTTGTCGGTCATATCTAATCACCGAGCAAACAGTATGTGCAGTTAGCAGTACGAAAAACAACAAAAAATAAATAGACAAGGACGAATGGGAGCTCTCGGGAATCAAGTCCTAATGAGGCATGACTGTTCACATTGAATATACCTTCTTCTCTAGAGCAACTTTGCGGTTATTTAGAAGGTTTGAAAAATCTTAACAGATTTTATAACAATGAGATTTTGGAAACATCAGAATTCTCTGGGGATAGCTTCGCTATGTTTAAAGCCCAAACAAGTAGTGCAAATTCCGAACCAGCAATTATGACTGTTTTAGATGTTTTAGAAGTCTGCTTCAAGCAGTTGAATATATCTAACCTGTGTCTGCAAAGCTGTAGCAAATAACTTGAGACAAATTGCTTGTACAGTGTCAGAGTCCAATTAAACTTTCTTTTTCTTCTGCAGTAAAGTGAGAAACCCTGAGGCTAGTGCTGTCTTGTTGACACCTCCTCCTGGAGCATGGCAGCTGTTTGCAATCCACACATGTCTCTCAGAAGCTGTCCCTGAGCCACTGTGCTCTAGGCACATTGAACAACCTCATATTCTGCGTGTTTTTCTTAGATCTAAAGCACCCTCACATTCACGGTTGATCCGAGTTTGTCTTTTGTATCACATCAAATGGCTTTACCTCGTTTTCTTTTGCTGTCCTGCACTTTTGCATTAAATTACCCTTTTCAGGTTTTATGACCCTAGCATGTTGAATGTCTCTCCTCTAGTCTTGCTGAAGTATCCTCTTAGGTCTTAAAAAGTATTCCACCTGAGGCTTATTGCAATTTCCAGGCTTAGTACCTAGATAGGTTTGCAAATAT